TTTCCCTGAATACTCCGCAAGAGCTGCGTTCACACAACTGACAGAACACGCAAAAAGTCAAGGAATGAATGAGGAATAAAAAAAGCGAGGGAGAAAAAAGACCGGAAAGGCGACAGTCGCTGAGAGGCGAAAAGGAAGATACGACATGGATGAGGAAGAAAGTGAGTGAGAGAGAGAGAGAGAGAGAGAGAGAGAGAGAGAGAGAGAGGGAAAGAATGAAAGGCGCATACGCAGTCGGTAGAAAAAGGAAGAGGCCAAAAGAACCGACGAAATTATAGTTACCGCCACTGTTGCCACGAAGGAATAGAAGAAGAACGAAGTAGTAGGAGGAAGTGGAACAACAGAGGTCGAAACGAACGCGGAGGTATACGTAAGACTCTCTACATGCATGGCAAGGGGTAGCGCGTGTATTCCTACACATACATGAATCCTGACGAGAGGCGAAAAGAAATAGAAACTTGCTATCTTCCTCTTCCTTTCCCACCCTGTCCATCTCTCTCTCTCTCTCTCTATATATATATATATATATATATATATATATATATATAGATTTATTTATCTATTTATCTATCTATCTCTGTCTATGTCTCACTCTGTATCTATGAGGAAGTCGGAAAAAGGTGATGAGAAGAGAAAGAAGAAGAGAGGTCAAGAAAGGAAGAAAAAAAGAAGGATGTGCGGGAGTTGGCGGCCATATTGGCTGTGCATCAGGCACTCCCAAGAAGAAAGAAAGAGAGAGAGAGAAAGAGAGAGAGAGAGAGAGAGAGGGAGAGCGAGAGGGAGAGCGAGAGGGTGAGAGGGGGAGGGGGAGAGGGGGAGGGAGAGATTGAGTGAGTGAGGGAAAGGAAGGGCGGAAAGAGAGGCACAACAGAAGCCAACGGTTGGAAGGGAGAAAGCGGGCGGGGGTGGGTGCGCTCGCTCGCTGGTCTCACGATGCCGCTCACGTAGTCTCTGCACGACGGCGTGTTCGCCATTCCTAATGCCGCTGGAGCCTAGCCCCGACGAAGGTGGACCCCGGGATGTATATAGGAGAAACTCAACAGAGAGAAAGAAAGATAGAGATAGAGAGAAAGAGAGAGAGAGAGAGAGAGAGAGAGAGAGAGAGATATGACTACGACGACGACGGCGACGAAGGGAGAAGCAGAAGAAGAGGCAGATATAGAAAACGAGTGTGTGTGCGTGTGTGTGCGCGCGCGCGCGCGCGCGCGTGTGTGTGTGAGGGAGAGAGAGTGAGAAAGAGATAAGTGGTTAGGGGGAGGGAACTGGTACCAGCGCGATGGTACCGCAGGAGGAAGAGAGAACGAGAGTCATGGGGTAATCAATAGGGTGTTTCGGGGATTCTGGAAACTGCCGCGGCGCCGTCGTCGTCGTTGTGTCACAAACATGGCCGCGTCCGTTTATACTAGCCGCGGTAAATTCACTCGTACCACTCCAACGTACCCGCGCTAATTAATATTGTCGATAGGCGCATAACTGCGCATAGTAAGATTTCGCTGTGGTACCGCGAATTTCAATCTGAAGCAATATGCTTTAATTTTTAATGAGGCGTAGTGCGAAGAATAAAGGGGAAGGGGGTCTACCTTACGATCTATAATTGGTTAATTAGCGTAACGGCGCATGCAGATCCTGCTTGATTTTCAAATGGCATAGGTACTCTAGAGAACCGAGCACATTGATATTTTATCGAGGGGAGCTTCAAGAAATCTTCAGTTTTCATTTGATAACCAACAGAAAACAATACGATTCGATATTGCAAACGTTCGTTAATAATGAGCAGAATTACGCTCTTATTTTTTAATTCAATATTTTATTTTCATTTATATTCTATTTAACTTTTTTTCTGCGAATAAAGTTTGCAAAATGTATAGATACTTGCGGAAAAGCAGAGGATATTTATTTTAATATTTAAATAAATGTAAGTTACGTAATTGAAGACTTTAAGCGTGTAGCTTCCCCGAGGATAAATTACGTACACCAACGGGAGCAATATATTTTCATAATTGCAGTGCGATAAATAAAGTCCTTCTTAAGAAGCTTTGAGAGGCTCATTGACACGCGTGCAAATTGTAATTCGATTCATTGGTGTGAAAATTGCAATTGCACGACTGTCGTCACTTTCCTTCGATATTTCCAAGCGCAGTTGGGACTCGGAATATCCGAGGCGAAAGAGAGCCAAACATAATCGATCGTAACGATCATAACGACTGTCCGAATTAAATATCAGGAGATCGCGCGCGTGCGACTCCACCACAGGATCGAGCCTCGGTACGAGCTCTACCTCCATAAGGATTAAAATGCATTATTACAAGAAGAAGCGACATAGACGAGCGCGTGTCTCACATGCGAATGTCGAATGTTATCGACGAGCTCCCCTGCCACACGCTAATGGAAAAAGCCCGTCCTGGCGCTTAATTTTGATGAGCCGTTGACGGGCGCTCGGCAACAAGCTAATGAAGGCAATTTATTATTCGCGCCGCAGAATCGCCGCCATGTTGGACTCTCGGCCTAGGAATCGCCCGATTAAGCGCCTCCGCTTTCCCATTTTGATTCGTGTTGATTCGCTTTCTGGGCCATCGGTCCGCCGGCCCTGCCCCCTCCCATTTCCCACTCGATCGTCTTCCAGGATAATTGGTTCGCGCCCGCTTCTACGTACGCATGTGTTTGCCTATTGGGAGAGTCATAGAAGGAAGATGGTTAATTTGGATTATTGGCCAATTGGCGAAGGCCGCGGTTCCTTCGAATTCTCCATTTATCCGAGTCCCAGCGCCATTCATTATACATAGTATAATGTTATACATAAGTTATACATAAGTTATACATAGTATATATTATATCGTCTTGTAAGATTAGCAAGAAACGAATAAGGAGTTTCTGCGAAGGGATCGCCGCGACTTAAAGGCATGGTATGGTGGTGAAGCTTATTCGAATGTACATTCCATCGCTTATACGCGATGTAATATTCGGCGAATATTAACTATCAAAGGATTTGATAAGCAAATAGTCCCGGAATATATGGAAGGGCCGAAGAAATTTCGACTCCCACTCACAGCGAGCGCTATTGAAAATTTAAGAGGACGCTTCGGTTAGATGTCGGAGCTTATTAAAGAGACTTTTCTTTTCTCTTAAATAAAGCGACATAACAGAGGCTTACGCTAGTATATTAAAAACAAAAACAAATGAGAAAAACAGTCCGCATTTTGCTGCTGGAGTGCCTCGTAACCGCCTAAATAGCCATGCATCAAGGAAGGGGAGATCCTTATTCGCGCTATAAAAAGCGCTTAAGCTCACTTACCAGCTTTCGCTCAGGTCGTCGGTAAAAGTGAGAAGGGAATAAATTACCTTTAGGTATTAAAAATAAGTACACCCAAGACATAATGTGCGTGAATTCGTCGGTCCTTCTGTCATGAATAACAACGAAATGCGCGTAAAGTAATATCCAAATGGTTTTAATTTTTGTCATTTAATTTAAGCGAAAAGCAATTTTATTTCAATATATTTTCCGGGACTTTTTTTTCACAAATAGAAGCATTCGACTGCTTGTTTTGGCAATGCACATGTTGAGAAAAGGCCGTTCTTAATTGTCGCATGCGCCACTTATAAAGTAGCTTGTCCTCGCATTTTAATAAAATACATTATAAGCAGTTGAATTATTTGTCAAATGCAATTGTCACCTACTAAATTAATATTCGCGATAATCGCAATACCAAGGCAATTTGTATATAATTTGTACTACAATTTTATCCCATCAAGAAAAAATGGGGCGGAGGGAGGGAGGGAGGGGTGATGGTTGGTGGGTGGGTGGGGGGTGGGGGGGGGGGGTATAATTCAGGACATTAATACGTACAATTAAGGATTAATTGTCATTACAAGACCGGAATAATGAAAAAGGCAAAAGCTTTCACTAATTGTAGACCCTTGGCTGGTTAACCATTATAACTTGATGCTCTCGATATTGCACTGCCGATAAAATATTTTATAAACGTGTAAGCCCTACTTTAATAGCCATTACATACCGCAATTACACCAAATAACTGCACAAAAATCTTCGATAACAACAGCTGTACGGCATTGCACCAATACGAAACTACGATCCGACGGGAGACGCGCGCAATTGTAGCTTTCGCGTTACTCGCTCTCAAACTCGATCCGTAGGATACTCGATTGAAAGGAATTTTTGAAATTTTCGAAAACCAAAATCTCGATAATTTCCATGATAATTATATCAGATTATAATGCAGGCTAAATTATAACCTAATTGTAACTTAGTTGTGAATTAAAACAATTCTTTCCAGTATACATTTTATTAATAATTATAAATGTTTGTTGCGCCCACCTTGTATTTCATTCGACAATACAAGATTAATGAATTTTTAAAATTTTAAACAATTCGGCAGGAAATTGGATTTATCAGAATCTAAATTATGATAACAACCAAAGATTTATAGTTTTTGGATTTTTGCTGGCCAGTACTCTATACAATGGTAAATGGCGGCCAAATTCTATACTAGAATGAAATAAGCGATAACCCGATAAAGAAAATTGATTCGCACTGATAAAAATGAATTTATAAATATTTCCATTCATCTTACAAGTCCGCAAATTGCAAAAAATAATTTGAAAAAGAAAAATAACGCAAGTCTAATAATAATATTATTTGCAACGCCCTTCAAATCGTGAAAGACCATTTACTTTTGTCATGATCCATGTTAAAACGAATCAACTTGATTCGATCAATAAAAGGAAGCATATTTTAAAAACCGATAACTTTCAATTCGAATTATGAGAAAATGATTTAGTTATTTTAATGTTTTAATACAAATTAATCATTACTTGCTTAAATAGTTAAGGCAGGTACTTTATGCTTAAAACAGCACTGCGCACAGAGTTTTTTCGTTTGGATTTTTGTCAGAGAAATATATCGTCGGATAAAATATAAATATAAAAATAATTCTTCATAAAGTATCGTAGCCGTCTGTAAAAAGAAAAAAATTCTTTATTAATTATTTTATTCGCGCCATCGCAACTACTCATTTAAGTTATTTAAGCAACATTTAATTTACTTACTCGGGACTGAATTAATAAATAACGACATACTGATTACAAAAGCATGGAAATGGAAATTTACTGGCTGCACGGGGACTCGACAGTCAAATTCTTAACAAATTAAAGCGAATAATTAAAATCGCCATTCTCTCTATCCAATATGATTCTAATAATATCTCGATGTGAGAAGGCCGTTTAAACGAAAATTGCTGCGACAAATTATTCGCCAGTGGGTCAAATTTTTCGCATTTATTAGCAATTCGGGCATTAGCATCTGGCATTCCAAACTCGCGCATCGCGTAGCGGTCACCATTGAATAATATTCACGGGGAGATTCATTGGGTACGGCCCCGATTCGCTCGCTCGTACCACCGAGCAATGACTCGTGGCATAAATTAGGATCATGCGCGCGGCGAACGTATTATTAAGAAGGAGCTTCCTCTTTCCGGAAGTCGCTGTTTTCGCCAAGATAGTTACATCTATGGCTTTGTTCAGTCGGCCAATAGAGCCATTCGATGCATTCAATTCGAGCATAAAATAAATTGAATTTGAAACATTTATTTATTCATTATTAGTGCTCGGTTTACACGAAGAATCAAGGAAATGTATGCTCGGTGCTATTCCAAAAGTGCATAAACCGAGCGAAAAAGTGGATAGCTTCGTCGAGAGGATAACGCGGTTGCTGGCTAGTTAATCGAAAAAGGGAATGAAGTGTCGATGAGATGTTGAATGAATTAGGATCTTAAAGTTGTCGTCGGTCAATAGTGAAAATGCAAGGCAACGCGAGGAGAGGAAGTTTGCGGTGGAATAGACGCCGACTTGACTATCGCTGTACGTCTTTCGATGAGTTGCCGTTTTTTTTTTTTTTTTTTTTTTTTTTTTTTTAACTCGGCCCGTATGCCCGACGCGTATGTCCGCTTCAAGGAATCGATTCTGTACGTATACGAGGTCACGAAATTCATAGACGGATCGAGACAGGCATTTGGTGTATAGAGGAAGAGAGGTTCGAAGGAGAAACGACGACGGACCCTCACGCGCAACCGATAATCAAACGGACTCGCAGAGACATTGTCCTTTTCGCGTCCCCTTCACTGTCTGCGTATGCATTTGTGTGGCACACATTCGAGTGTATTGTAATAATCGTGCGTTCTTTGAAAATCGACATTCTAGGGCAATTTTATACAATTCGCACGTGATTTTTGCGCACCTATGTTGAACCGATGTCAAAAAAAAGGAAGAGAAAAAAAAAATATATATATATATATCTATATATATATATATATATATATATATATATATGTATATATATATATGTATATAAAAAATTGATTTTATATAAAAAAAAAAAAAGCCCTGAGCGTTGTTGCAAATCATGTGTAATGCTTTCAAAATTAGCAATGACATCATTATATTAAAATCAAATAGACGTGCGCGTGCGTGTGTCCAAAATATGTTGGATGATTTTGGTACTTAAACAATTACGTAAGTAGATAAAAAGTGTGCGTACGTTCATTAATTAATAAAACGATTTGTCAAATAATTATGAAAAGCTTATTTCAATTCTGCTTTCAATATATTTCCGATTATGATACTTTCAAGGCCATTGTTTTTGTTGTGAAGCGCTCCTACTTAATTTACGTAACTATCAATAAAGTCAGAGTATAATGAGCTGATAGATAATTTTGCAATATAAAGTGTATAACGACTTAGTGCATAAACGTTCGGGGCAGAGTAGATCAGTAAATAAATTATTTCGAGTAAAGTGAAAGCTTGAAGTTTCTAATATTTGCCGAATTATTAATAATCACGATATGAATAGCTGTCGAATTATTGGAACAGCTATAATTGCATCGCTCATTAAAAATTTCACGTACCACTAGGTATTTTGCATTGAAAAAATGCTTTACGAGCAATAAGCGCTTGACATATTTTAATCCGACCTTGTTGAAAATCTTATAATAAAGATGCAGCTGGAGAGTGTAAAGTCTTTTCTGATATCTAATTATAGGTGGAGATGACAGGCTCGAGTATATTCGACTACGTTCATCAGCATGACCACGCGGAGGTCGCGGAGCAACTCGGCCTAGGACTAACGAGCTCGACCTCGTCGTCAGGACCGCATTCCTCCAGCTCCGGATTAGCCTCGCCGAGCAGCGGCGCCTCCGAGGAACACGGTTCGTCATCAACTGCGAATCCCGACGGTATTTTCAGTTGATTTCCAGTAAGATAGTACGATACGACCATACGTAGGTCGCTGATGTGCGCACGGGACGCTCGCACAACCCGGCGGATTTATTACTGGAAACATTGGCTGCTTTGGTTTTACAGGGAGCGTGCTGCGCGGTAGGGCGGTGTCTTTGCGCCGCTTACAACTTAATTATCCATCGACGTGCCAAGTGCGCCATAACTATACGCCTCCTGTAAAATTTGTAGCCCCTTTTTCTTTGTGTAAATCGAAACTGTCGTTGCATGCACATGAAAACATTGAACTTTCCGTCTACCTCTTGGTGGCCCTCCAACTTACAATTAATTAATAATTTACAACGACAGGCTTTCCTACAGTGCACCAATATATTTTAATAATCGTTTCTATCATCATAGCGTTGGACAACTAATAGCATTAGAATTTGAATTTCCAACCATATTAACCATAATACATACATACATAATCGTAAAGAATTTGCTCTCCATTAATGTAAAACGGTGTGTAGTGTAGTATCAACTTCGGGCGCTCTAATTATTTATAAAATTTGAAAGAAATAGAGGAATTAATGAGAAGGACGGATGGATGGATGAAAGAAAGATGGTGGAGAAAAGGCGGGCTAAACGTCGAGGCGTCGAGGCTCTCGTTTGCGAAAATAAGCTCTAAGCCAACGTCGCGATACCTGAGCGCACCAGCAGTAGTAGCCCGAGTATTTTCGCCCGTAAACTGCAATGTTAAATCTAAATTCAGTTTGCATATAATGTAAAGGTAAAGAAACAAAGTTCAGAGGCTTGGCGCTGGGGAGGAAAGGAAGAGTTGACCATTAAGAGGGGCGAGATAATGGAGTGTAAGCCAGCGAATGATTATTGGATAATGGAGTCGAGGACTCGCCAACCCGCATTAACGGGCGGCTCAATGCCCTCGCGTACCTCGTGCTCGCGCGCGAGCGCACGTGCACCACCAGCCACGTACTCGGGTCTCGGAGGGTGGCTTCGCGCCCGGGTGAACCCGCGGACCGAGCCCGGGCGCGGTACCGCCTTCCCGTGACCGGCGTTGGCCGGGGGGCGCACGTGCTCGGACAAGGTCGCGCGGCAAATACCGAGGCCGGGCTCTAAGCTGCCCGGGCACGTGACGACGGCTGCGTGACGCTAAATCGGGCTCTTTCCTTCTCGGTCACGCCCCGGCAGATCGGAAGTCCGGGCGACGGCGGTGGGCTTGAATGAACGCGTAACCCGGAAAGCGTGACCGGAGGATAGCGGACCGGACCGAGGAGCGCCGCATCCGCGACGAAAGATGATCGGCGGGAGTGGCGGCGGAGAGTGAGTGGGGTGATTAGGGGCGACGGGGGCCGAACGAACGTGCCGCTGTCGTGGAACGTGCCCCTCGGGCTCCGTGTGGAGAGTCCCGGTCGCTGATAGGGGCTGGACCGCTCCGTGACGGGGGTTTGGAAAGAGGGTAGTGCGCGCGTGAACAGCCTTAGATTCGTGGCCCGGTGGCCGTGGAATCGTCGGACCTCCCGGTGACAGGGCTCCGGGGGATGTGCTCGCATACGGTATGCATCCCCGCGATTCTCCATTGTTATTCCACGCGGCCACCAGAACTCCATCCCTCTATTCCTCCCTCCGTTTTCCCTCCGTTAGACATTGGGTTCCCGCCTCTCTCTCTCCCACCCTCTCTCTCTCCCACCCTCTCTCTCTCTCTCTCTCTCTCTCTCTCTCCCACCCTCTCTCTCTCTCTCTCTCTCTCTCTGAGATATCTTGCGCCTTTTAAAAGTAATACCATTTCTTCTTGCCGGACGTTTTATTTTTCGCGAAGAATTTAAAAATTTTAAATTCTCCTTGCTTACCTCGCCAAGTTGCACCATTACGTCGAGATGAACCTTTAATATCACTTTCAATGGACTTTTCCGACATCTAAAGATATTATTGAAGTTTCGTCGCAGATTTAATCCTACGAGAGCGCGAGCGACAAAGTCGCGCAATCGGCCCGAGATCGTGGCAAGTACTCGAAAATTGCAAAATTCCCCTGACGAGCGCGCGCGTCTTGTACGTATCTAAGAGCCAGCCGGCTAGCTCGGGATCAGTTCACTCGTGCACGTGGTTTCGTCTAGCGGACCCCGAGAGCGGTTTTTTACCAGGGCACGTCAAGCTCGCGCGTTGGCCGAGCATCGACGACTAATCGCTCAACGTCTCAACTGTTCCGTGCTTCGCTTGACCTCGACTACGCGCGACCCACTACCCGGACCAAGTTGGAGATCAGTAGCAGGGGCGCTGAGAAGCCGCGCTTAAACAAATACAAACTAGAACGAGGATAGCATTCGAACGAATCTATAAACTATTTGTTAATGCGAATGTGTTAATTGGCCCCTCGAAAGATTAGAAGCTCGCAGCGTCGATATCCATTAACGAGATAAAGCTTTAAGAAATCTATATACGATATGATTATCGATGCTTAATTAATTCTATGAAGACGTGCGTGGCACCTCGTTCGTAAAATATAGTTTGCAAAGGTCGGGAAAATAATTCGGCCCTTTTAAAATTAATGTTACAGTATCATCGGTGATGTCGTTGACGGCGACCGGCTTGTACAAGGGATACGATCGAGCCTTTTGCGTCCGCATGAAGTCATCGCTGTCAAAGAGAGGCTGCCACTTCAAGTCTTCTGGCTATCGTGTAAGTCTCAAGAGCTCCTTCGTTAATTTAATGCTTCAGGCGTTATCATTATATGATGCTTGCCTATCACTTCGCTAAAATCGTGTGTAGCCATTGCACTTGACTTCTTGGTGACAGCGCATGTTTGCCAGGCAATCTGTGGTAGTCTGTGCTAATGCGAATTGTCCTCGAGATTGGCATGTCGACCATGGCTTACATACAATGACCTTTAAATGCTTTTGTTTACGTACGGATCGTCCAAGCTTTGGAAAATAGTGCGATCCTTATGCGAGCGGATCGTCATTGCGTCGGTGTATTAAATGATTTTTTACACGTTATGTTTGTAGGTTGTTTTGTTACTCTGTCGACTGAGGCCGCAATACACATTCAGTCACTCGAGGAAATCGGCGCCGCCACTCATGGGGATGGTCGGCCTGGCGATCGCACTTCCGCCGCCTAGTGTACACGAAATTAGACTTGAATGCGACATGTTTGTCACACGCATCAATTTCGACTTCCGGATAGCACATTGCGAACCAAAGTGAGTAAACGCATCGTAATACCGAACCTCCTCCACTGCCAGTATTTCGCTACGTCCCACTTACAAATGACAATCCTTGCGCCAAAGCCTTGCATAAACACGTGCAATTTTGTTTCATTTACATTCGATATTTTACATTTCGATCCCTGTCCCTTGATTGTCTGTCAATTGATTATAAATTGTTGTTGTCATTATTGTTATTATTACTGTCCATCGTCACTATTATCATCATTGTCATCATCGCTATTATTATTATTTGAATGATCAACGCAATATGTGTTTGATGGGATTTTTAAGTAATGTAAATAATTATTGTTGTAAAGAGCCCTCTATCCAGCTGTCTTTGATTTCTCGATTTGATTTCTCCAGGGTGTCCGAGCTGTTGGACTACACAGCGGACGAACTGACGGGAAAGAATCTCTACACGCTTTGTCACGGTGAAGATGCGAATCGTCTTCGAAAATCTCACATGGATCGTAAGTATACATCCCGTGCGACGTAATGAAATTATTTAAATAATAATGTCAAGAGTCGTAAATGCTCGGAAATGTAAAATGGCAATGTCGCTAGTACGGGTCGATTCAGGCATCCGTTGGTTTACCGTATTCCCACCGTAAGCGTAGCTTAGTTACCGACCGTTGTTGCATCGCGAAAATGAAAAATGCGACACGAATAACAAATGCCGATGGCCGGATTTCTATTATTCGAGCCGCAACGGCTTTCCCTTTGATTTCTTTCAATTTCCAAGATCGTAAAAATTGAAAACGCCGTCGCAATCGGCTCGCATGCACTCCCACTTGGCCGTTATTAAAAATGTAGGCAAAGGGAAGTGGGACGGCAACCTGGACGCCAGCCAAACCCGCCAGGAACAAAGCGAGCGCGTGAAACGGCCGATATTGTTAAGCGTTTTCGCCGTAAAACGCCCCTCCCGCATTTCGAGCTCGGCGGCGGCGCTCGTACATCTGCCGTCGCGGCCCTGGGATTAGGCAATTGATATGCAGAGTGCGTTGGCGTACGCCGGATGCGGCATCTCCAGCGAGTTGTTACCACCTCCAGGCCAACCGCCCGCCGACGATCCC